GTCTCTAAAGATAGAACTGATATTTAAATTTATAACACTAATATTACTAATATTACACACACACACACACACACACACACACACTTTTATACACATATATATATTGGATTTACTAATAAAATAGAAAATAATTAATGAAATTGAGGATATATAGATATTAAAGAAGAATATTAATATTTTAATTTAAATATTCTAAGAGTACTTATAATCAGTGATAGTATGCTACTATATTCTTATTTTATTAAGAACACACACACACACACACACACACACACACACACACACACACACACACACACACACACACACACACACACACACACACACACACACACACACACACACACACACACACACACACACACACACACACACACACACACACATACACACACACATATATATATTAGTTACTACTAATAAAATAGAAAATGTGGTGAAATTAGGGATATAAAAGATATTAAGAAGAATATTAATATTTTTAATTTAAATATTCTAGAAAATTATAATCAGTGATGAGTATGCTACTATATTCTTATTTTAATGAAAAGTCTGCGTGTAAGTTACATTTTTTAAACTAATAATTCACTTATTGATCACCTATTTATTCATTATTTGTATATGCTCATAACTGTTTTTTTGTATTTTCATATTTTGGGATTGTTTCATATATTTTACGTAATTTTTGTAAAAAACTAAAAACTTTCTTATTGAATATTAATAGTTCGCACTGACATGTGGTTTAGACAGATGTAATTAGTAAGGGGACTAAAGAAATGGCGAGTCGTTCAACATTTTTTTTTTTTTTTTTTTTAAAGCGGCTGTCGTATACAATTAATTAATAAAACAGAAAAATCTTTTAAATCTTTCACTATAACACTTGTCAGTTGTGACACAACATAAAGGCCGTAGGTAGCGACAAACGACAATTTACAAATAACAAACCGTAAATTTATAGCGTGCTACAGCAGTACTTCGCAATACTGCGTGTGGACCGAAGCGACGATATTATGTCAATCGCTATCCTCCTGCGGACCACAGATCATAATATCATTATCACTAAGATGACTGCGGTGGACAACAAAATATAACATACGAGTATAGGTACCGTACAGTTCATAAGTAGATCGTAAGACTTACCATCGTGATCGGTCGAGAAGAATGCGCGTATCGGTGGTCGCTGGCTGAATAACGGATCAGCTGTGGGTCATCGTGGCACGACTTGCGAGGAAAATGGATTGCAGTCGACTCGGCGGTACCTATTTAGTGGTATGTGTGTTATAATATGAGGTACTGGCGTACGTGTACGACGAAAACGAAAACTTGCGATCCCGTACAACTGTTTGTGTTCGCTGTTACTCGTAATTAGAACGATACAATTGCAATAATTGCGTTTCTTCAATACAGCGGTAGCGGCAGTGTCGTCGTCGTCGTCGTCGTCGTGTGTTACGGTCGAGGATACGGCGCACACTGTTGGCGCGACAAAACTAATCGTGCGGCCGTGGCTTGATCGGTGGCGGCGGTGGCGGTCCCTCCTAAACGCGAAGCCCGTCCGGGCCGGCGGATCAGCGCGCCGCTATTCGCGGTGCCCGGAACTCGCTCGCGATTTTCTATGATATAGTCATTACGGATTTTTAATAAAATAATATTAACGGTCGAGTTCAAAAAAAACTGGCGGAAATAAAGACGACGTATTTGCGGGCGCACACACTTATTGTCTTTACACGCACGAAAGGACGTTTCGCGCGATGCGTGGATGACGATCCGCTAACACGTTGGCTCGAGGCCACCAGAATACGAGAATAATATACGCTTCTGAGTAATTCGTATCTCGTCTTCGAGCCGTTTACCACGGTATATCGCGCACAACGCACTCCTTTGACCACTGTATATAGGTGCTACAGCTATATACGTATACATGATGTTTTATTGTGCTATCCGGTCATTCGACATTTGGGCTATACAAAATGTACACCACGTGTAATGTCGATTAAAAAAAGTTTTCAACGTTTGTAGATCGTTTTGTGCAAGATACAATCAAGACGAATTAAGAGAGCTAGTTTTGATACAAGGACAACAATTTTGGAAAAAAAAATCCTTTTATCTGTCGCGATGACTCGCGACTGCGCATATATATTTCGATGTGTTACGGACGACCGACAAATATTTTTTTCGTCGTTTTCATTTTTGTTAATAACGATCGTATATAGTTTATAATATACCTATAACTGAAAATATAGATGTTAAAGTTTTGAACGACGTTTGGCTCGGTCAAAAAGTTGTTTCCATCTGAATGTTTTTTTGAGCTATACATGGGTAATACACATCTATAAAACGCGAACGTTTATTTAAATAATAGAAATACAAATAATATTGTGCAAGAGGTTAATCTCAGCATGATTAAAAACGTAACCGAATTTTATTTTAAACATACTCAACCACCGGCTGGATTTAGGGAGGGTGTTTGGTAGCTGAAACACCCGTCGTCCCGCATATTTAACTTTTTTTTTAAACTATTGTTCTGTGGACTGTGATATAACATATTATTTACAAAGTATCATATATACCAAAAATATTGCAGTTTCTGTAATCGGAGAAAATAATATTTATCATTTATTTTTATTATACGAAGTTAGTTTGTATAGTTGCATTAAAGTAACCGTGATCAATTCATTTCTACAGACAAGGACTTTATGCATTGGACTTCAAAAGTTCTAAGCTAGATTTATCAAGTGAAATTATAAAGGTAAAAATTTTAATTGATGTGTTTGAAGACGTGCGTAAGCATTCAAGTATAAAAATCAGCACTTTATATCAACACGCAACTCTAAAACCGTAAATATTTTATGAAGAATTAAAAGTTTTTCGTCTTGGTGATTATCAAATTCAAAGGAGTAATGCTAATTCCAACAGAAAGCGTTTGGGATGGTTTAAATTAATCAGTTTTGACAGAACATCATTCAAGATTTAAAATCTACAAAATCAATATTAGATTGTCTAAAGTTATTCCACTTGAAGGGCTTATCTCAGCCAACATAAATTTTTCTGACACTTAAACTATAAACAATTCTGCATGTTAAAAATGGATACTTGCAATTCCGAGGTTAAATATTATACACATTATATAATTAATAGATAAGTATAGCTAATGCAGAACAATTAGCAATTAGCATCACTTTATGGCGATAAAGAATCTTAGATTTGCGCCTGTGGCTTACTATAGTCTATAATATTAAGTTTTCCAGAATAGTATTATACATATGATAATTAAGGTGTACACAGCAGGGATCGTAATGAAAATAAAAAACCCGCAACGGTATCGTATAATATATAATGTGTATTTCGTTGTTATGTATATATAAATGTATACGTTCACACACAACCATCATGAGCTGCAGTATACAATATTGAATATCGTAACTCAAATTGGATTATTGTTGATATTTAAAAAAAAAAATTAAGTACTAATACGTAGGTACAGGCGTATTATATAAGCATGTAATCATAATTATTATTCGCCACAAAGCTTCGACAAACAGATAATATACTAGATGTACTAGCCTACGCCTAATTTTTTTGTAAGCACGATATCGTGTATTGATCGATTCGATAATTTGTAACTCGCACGTATTAGTTAACGCAGATTATAATACGCATGATGTGCGTATACACTGTACAATAGGTGCTCTTGTTCAAATGCGATTAAAAATTATAGCTCATCTATGTACGTCATCAATACGTATAATAGGTGACGATGTAATATTAAATTTGCGAACGCGGTGCTGCCCGCTGAGGTTAACAAGCGCGTTTAAGTATATTAATTGGTAAGAAATCCTATCGAGGACTCCAATCAACTGAAAACTCGTGTAAATCATATTAATGCTGTAAAACAACACCGGTGCGTAGAGGTGATACATTATAATGTGTTGCAGTCTCCGAGTGCAAGATATTTGGGCGACGTTAATCGCCGCCGTGTTCGCTTTTCGCGGAACCGTTAACGGTTTTAGACGACGTCGTTTATGGACACGGTCATGGACCCGTCGCGGACCGTGAACGCCGCTCGTTTATTATTCCGTCGCCATTATTCTCGTCGATTAATGTGTCGTGAAAATAATCAAAATATTTACTGGTACGGTGACGACACAATATTGATAATAAGTTCCCGCCGTAACGATAGGTATAACATAAACGAACGCGGTTAGAAAAGCAAAAAAAAAAAAAAAAAAACCGCATAAAAAAAGATACGCGCATAATACTTAGAGTATTTCACATTGGGAATAATTGTCGCCCTGGTTGCCATCGACGTTTTGTTTTTGTCGTCGCGTTTAGGAATAATTGTACAAAAGTAAAAATAATAAGTATAAGACAACTGAAAAATATACCTATTATAAAACACTATACCGTTTTTACGTACATCCAAACATCGCAGTAAAATTTAATAAAATAAGTACAACAATCTAATTTTAAAACATGCTTATATTGCTCTTAGAGTAATATGCAATATATTAAAGTTGAATTTGTACACGCGCGTATTCCACCAAAGGATACGATCTCCACTAACCCTGACGCTTTAAAATATATGTCCAATTTGAACGGACAAAAATCTTAGATATTTTTCACTTCGTAATTTTCTGGAAAATTTCATCATTAAATTTACATTTGAAAAGACTTAAATATAGTTTGTTTCATTAAAAAATGTACTTACGAGCATAACACAATTTTATACGTAAACGTCAGTTTTTAATTTTTACGATATTGAAAAAAAAAACAAAAATTTGCTATTTAAATGTCTATTTTTTTCATAAATACGTACTACCTTTAACCGTGTATAATTTATGTATAGAAAAAGATTGATGTAATGATATTTTTTAACAGAGTCAGTCAGTTTAATTTTGAGTGAATTTGAGGTACATCGCTCCAATCAGTTTATCCCTTACATTACCCTTAACAGTATTACGTCTATTTGATACACGTTGTGCAGCGTGCATCATATTGAGTAATACGTAATAATCGTGTTGACCGTTGACGAGAGGAAAATGCATTAGTGGTGGCGACTGCTGTGTCCTTCGGGAATCGGCCAGGTGATCCGTTGTCATCGGATTACACGTTATACATTTATGTGTGCACACATTATTATGACGCATAACGACCTCCCCATTGCAAACTAAACTATTAAGCGTATATACAGGGTGAATCGCCAAGCATGCTCTACCTCATTCAATTTTCCATTTATTAATGATTTTAGTTTTAAATATACTTAAATATTATATTTTCAAATTATTGAGACGTTTTGAACTAATTATTAAAGAATGTCCCGTAATGATATACATTTTTATTTTTTTAAACTAGAACTTTTTTATTGTAAATTATTAAACGGATAATTTTTCTGAAAATATTGGTGTACCTACCTATACCTACCTAATTCACTATTCAAACAATATTTATTATGCATCGGTCATTTTTACTAGGTAGTTTTAAATATCAATAGATTAGTAATAATAACTAAAATGTTCAAACTACCATAAGCCATACGTTTTCTAAAACCCATCATCTCTTATCTTTAGTGAATAAACTTAAATAACTCAAAAACTACTCGTTTGAGTTTTGATTTTGTTACATTAACATTTTCAGAAAAATTATCTTCTAAATATTTCACAGTAAAAAAAGGGCAGTTGTAATTCAAAAAAGCGATATCTCAACAATACAATTCTTGAATAGCACAAACAATTCTCAAGAATTTGAAAATACGACCTTAAAGAATAATTAAAATTTAAAAATCAGATTTTTAATAAATTCAAAAGGAATTTTTAAAAGAAAAATGGAATAGGGTGAAAATGTTTGTTGAATCATACTGTATATTTTATTAAACGAACGAGATAATGATCTAGGTTTAAAGGGATGAGGACGGTGGGGTTGGAGATAGAGCAACGGAAATGGACTGAGGTCACGAATGCGTGACGTGTCTGATCGATCGGTGAGAAGAATATATCGCTGTTGCCTGTTGGTAGATACTATAGATATTATTATTATTATTATTATTATTATTATTATTATTATTATTTACTATTTTTATAACAGTACAGTGATATAATATTATATTATATATATTTATTTATTACGGCTAACCTAAAATAATGATTTCACATCACACAATTTATACTCGTTACCTAAATTTTTGACATATCACGACATGCTATAGGTTATTGGCATGTTGATATAATATCATTTATTATTATAATAATTCCGTTGAACCGGCAATTCTTTATCAAAATGTTCAAATAACTTACAATATTTTAATGACAATGACGGTCGTAATGATAACAGTCATATAATCAATAATTATTATAGATAAATAAATCGGTAATTATTCTCGATATTAATTAAAATCAAACCATTGCGCTTAGTCTAACATAAATTGTGAATCGGTTAATAGCACAAAAAATTTGATAAACTACATTTAAAAAATTTTTCAAGTATTATAAAAAGGAGAAAAGTGTAAA